AAGCTAGATCGATTAAGGAGGTGAATTATTGATCGATAATTAGTTTTTGATTCGAAATTTAGTATTTTAATTAAAGGAAATTCGTTGTTTGACGAGAAGATTCGCAAAAGAGAGGTTCTTGAGAGGTTTGTTTTTTTTTACGTTTTTACGACGATAATAATATATTATTATTATTATCGTGGCAAACATTGGAAAAGTTTATGGTGAAAATATTAAATATATTTTCTATTCTCTATCTCTAAAAATCGTGTATAAAAATTAGACTCGTAGAATTAAAAGATCCGTTAGATTTAATTCATCGTTATTAAAAATACATTTTCATCCCAATTACGGGGAAGAGAGAGTCACTTGAGTTATTCAGCCGTTATGAAACATGCAGCGACATGGTGCAGCGAAAAATCTCGTTTCAAAGCCGATGAGGAAGGTAAGATTTACGATGAAGAAGGTAAATTGGCGATGCATCGATAATCACGTTCGATTCACCCGTTACGACGAAACTCCAAGTGTAAATCGTTCTTGCACGCTCGTCAACGTTTAACGTCGTGGATGGAATGCATTTCTCTTTTTCTTCTTCTTCTTCTTTTTCCTCCTCTTCTTCGTTCGCTTCCTTCTCCACTCTTCTCTCCGATCTTTGAATCCCGATCTCATAACCGGCTTGCTCGCGATTTGCATCTCGCTACTGGCGGAGCACCTTCATCGATGGGGGAGGGTGTTGTCGTCAATTTCGCGACATCGTTCCCGGTACAATGGGGATTCGTGATGCGTGTACGCAATATCGCCTGCTTTATACACAGAGCCGTTCGATAATATCGATTACCTTGTAGTCCTTCTGACGGGTGGTGTAACGATTGCTTCTTCTCCATGTTGCGAGCGAACGTGAATGTAGGAACGGGGGTTGTCTATTCATCCAAGGGTCGAATTTTTGTTAGAAGTAAAGCGTTATTATTCTTACGATCATTTTAACGAAAGGAAGAAATGTTTAAAAGACTTGTGATTGTCGAGAATAAAAATAGTGGATTGGAATTATGTTTGTTCATATCGATCAGGATAACTGTGTTAAACGACGAAATGAATTTATGAAGTATAATATATATCAATAAAATATTATTTTTCTCTCGAAGATTTTATTAAAACGAGGACAATTTCAATTTAAATCAGAGATTTTTCGAAGAAAGAGTTTTCTTCACTTACGAAAATTGCTAAATACTCGCAGAGCGACGATAATTATTTCAACGGATATAATTTTTCTCGTTTATCAAAAGGAGAAATTGTTGGTTTCGACCCCGACGTGTTAAAGAAGTAGAATTTACAGCCGGATGAAATAACTTGGAAGAAGAATCGGTTCACCGAAAATCAATGAACAATTCATGCGGACAATTGATTTCGATGCTCGACAAATCATGGTGGAATTCTTCCCCTCAAGGATATAATAGCGCTAAACGAATCGCTGTCGGTGGAACCACCGTTCCTCAACAGCCACTGAGAAGACTCAAACGCATTATTTCCACCGTGGTGGACCATCAAAGGGGGCGAACTCGCGTTGAAAGGTCGGGCCGGCCGCTTAACCCGGAACTTAACGAGTTCGACGAAGAAGGTAATAACTTCTTTTCAACGACGCTTAAAATAACATCGGAGGAATTCGTCTTAATATAATTCCAGCCCCACCACCACTCTCTTTTCTCCCTCGAAATTCGAATAACCGATTCTTTGTCCGAAATTCGACCCAAGACTTGACCACCGTTTCCAAGTTAACGCGATATCCCCGCGTTTTCGCCCCTAATTGAAACGAAAATAATGGCCACGCGATGAAAAACGGCTCGTTCTTTCTTGGCTCGCGGCGCGCCAAACGTTTTATAATTAAAACGGAGAACGTTTCCCTTGGCTCGTGATACAGGGTACATTGGACGATAAAGGGTGGCTTCGAGGATATTTAATTAAAGGACTGGTGCATGATGGAAATGAATGTATAAATCTGTTCGTACGAGGGAGAGGAACGAACATCGAAGCTAAGAGGATGCTTGGGATGTTGAAATTACTTGCGCATTTTCATCAAAAATTGTCGATAGTTTTCATATAGTCGAATGATTCTTTCTGTTTCACGTTGTTGTTCGACGTTAAAAGGATTTCGTTTCAGATGAGATTTCATAGAAGTTTTTCGAAATTCCGAAAAATATTGCACTCAACTGGTTTAATTAAAAAGTGCGGCTGTACGAAAAAAAAGTGGCTGTGAAAAGAAAGAATTTTTAATATAATCGTCGGACACGTTTCGAAACAATTGCTTTGAAATGGGAAAAAAAAAAGAAAAAGAAAAAAGACACGGAAAAAATTAACAACATCATCGTAATCGAGTAAGTTGATTATTTAATCGATTATTCACCCTGTAAGAAAATATTTTTCACATCGTGATTCGAAACGAAGTCGACCTCGAAATCGCGAGTTGACGGGGCGA